AGTAGGACCAAACTACTGTAATTTATTTCTTTGCAAATTATTATAGGAAGAATAAGTTTAATCTAAAAAGGAAAAAAGGGGTGTGGGGCTAAAATTTATTGAGTATCTACCACGTGCCATCATTTCATACAGATATTACCTAATTTATTTACCACCAAGCAGTATTTATGGGCTAGAATTACAATTGTCCAGCTGATCAAATTGAGACATGAAGAGGTTATATGATTTGCCCAAAGTCACACAGCTATGATGACTAAGAATTCAATCCAGGCATCTAAATCTAGATCTTCAAATCCATGCTTCTCTCAATTTTATTAAACACAAGCAGCAGCAAACTTCAAATACATCCTGGAAGAGACAATCCAGATTTTCTGGAGCTATTCCTAAAGGAAATAAAGGTCAGGAAGGATTGAATCGATTTTAGAAAAATCCCGAAGGATTTTGAAGATGGTGATCTCATACATTTATTTACTCATTTATTTATTCAAGAAGATTTAATAAATAAGGATAAAAAGGAAGTGAAGATAAAAAAGACAAGATGGTGACTCTCTGTCCTCAAGTTGCTCATTGTACTTAGGCAGAGCCCCACAAGTAAACAGACAATTATGATGATATAGGGGGATAAGTGTTATGATAGAAATAAGCAAGTGACGTTGAGGATCCTAACTCAGTGTTGCTACTTAGTTCCCTGTGAAATGGACTCTAAGATGGAGATCTGTGCACAGGAGGCTAGCTTTCAGGATCAATCACTTGCAGGAGAAGTGAAAGAAACTGAATTGAACAGAAGAAGTTGGTCTCTGATGCAGTCACAACAAAGTTCTCAGCCTTTTCATGGGAGGATTATAGGGCTAGGGTGGCCTGCAGAATAGTCCCAACTGGGACAATGTAACTAGGCTTCTATATTTCCAGATCAAGTAGTCATTACATATGGGTTGCCCATAGGAAGGAAGGCATGGCCTTAAGGAAGTGGCTCTCTTCAACCACGGTCAAGCTGCAAAATGAAATTTAGCTGTGATCTATCTGTACTTATACTCTCAGTGGTCAGGGAATGAACAATTCAGTCCCGAGGCCTTAAAAGAATCCAAGCAGTACACTACTGGATCCACCATACCCACCTTCATGGAAGGTTTTCTAGAGAAGATGGCCCTGGAGTAGAGTCCTAAAGGACAATAAGAGTTATCCAGGAGAACGGCACCTATGTAGATAAGGCAGCCTGGGGAGAGTACATTTAGGACAGTTTATCATGCCCTTGGGAACAAATAATGCATAAGGGAAAGCAGCAAGTACTGAGGTTTAGATGGAGAGGCCAGATCCTGCAGAATATGGCACTCTTCTTCCTGAAGGCAATGGGAAGGCATTCAAGACTTTTATTCAGGGAGTGATATAATCATATTTGCTTTGTAGAAATCATTCTGACAATAGGTGGAGAATATACCAGATGGGAATGAAACTGAAGGAAAAGAAGCAGACTCATTAGGAAGCTGTAACAGTGATCCCAGAGAGAAGACTAATACTTGAATTGCCAAGTAGCAGTAGCAGTGAGGATAGATACAAGTGAATATTAAGGTTATTGCAAAGATATGGAGTGGGAAAAACTGAGAAAACTTATGAAATCAATTAAATGTTGTGGGTAGGAAAAATTTTAAAGTCAAGAGTAACTCAGAGGATGGTACCAGCTATTGTTGATATAAATCCAGAGGGAAGCATGGATTTAAACATTTTGCAGGTGTAGCATTCATGTGGGGATCTCCATCAATAGATGTTTGCGCTCCTCTGGAGTTCAGGAGAGAAATCTAGGTTGATGACAACAAAGAGTCAGAGTCCACATATGGATGGCAATAGAAATTACAGGAATGGAAAAGTATGTTCTAAAATGTACACAGGACACAGAAGAAAAACATTATTTGAGGTAAAGAGGAGCAAACACAGAAGTGCTAGGAACGTAGGAAGAAAACAGGAGAGAGGGAGGTCTTGGAATTGAAAAGAGGGGAGATTGTAAAGAAGCTTCAAGTGCAGTTGAATGCCACTGAAAGATTTAAAAAAAGACAATTTTCCAGAGTATCAAGTAAGTTGGGGGTCACTGGTGACCTTGGCAAGGAGCAGTTCAATGGCATGGAAAAGATAAAACAAAGACAATAAAGGAAACATGACTGAGCTTAAGGATGTTATGCTCAATGAAATGTCAGTCACATAAGCATAAATACTACGGGATTCCCCTTATATGAGGTACACAGAGTCATCAAATTCATAAAGACAGAAAGTAGAATGGGGGTTTCCAGGGGCCGCGAGCAGGGAGGAGGAGGAATAGAAAATTATTGTTTAACAGGTATAGAGTTTCAGTTTGGGAAGTGAAAAGGTTCTGGAGATGGATGGTGGTGATGGTTGTAGAGCGATGTCAATGTGCTTCATGCCACAGACCTATGCACTTGAAAGTTAAAATGGCAAGTTTTATGTTATGTATATTTTATTAAAAGAAAAAAGAGAGAATAAAAAGATTGAATGAGAGACAAGAAAATGTAGGGACTGACTAGAGCCCCTTCTCAAGAAGCTTGGATGGGAAGAAAAGGAGAGAAAATATAGCTAAAGAAGGGTGTAGGGTCCTGGGGGGCATTTTGAGGAGAGAGCCAGTAGGGAGGCTCTCTGGAGATATCAGAGGTACATCAAAGAGAAGCAGTTCTGAGAGCTGAGCAAGACAGATGGGTGGTAAGATGGGGGCCACAAGAGCTGCAGTTGAATCTCACTCTGGCGAACACGTAGAGAGTAGAGGAATATGCCAGAAGAATGACTTTTGACCGATGAATGATGAAAAAAGGTCTTGCTCTGCTCGGATGATGAACTTCAGTTGAGAAAATTTAGTAAACCATTAATGCTCTCTTGAGGTTTAAAAATCAACGTCTAGTTCATTTGACAGTTTAAAGCAACTAATAGTGGCCACACACTCTTTTACAGATTAATTTGGTAAATCACATAATACAGTGTGTCGTATATCATAAATATATACAATGATAATATTGTGATATGTAAGTTTTTATTTTCCCATTACATGTTGGGTGATATTCTACTAAATAAAGGGCAAAGTAACTTATGAACTTTGGAGCTCACTAAAATGTCAAAGAAGAGTATTGTCTAAATTTTAAGGAGGAGTATTGTCTGAAAGTTACAATCTTAACTATTTCCCTATTTAACTAAATTTGAAAATACTATCCACTTTAATAGTATGTTATTTTAAATACCTACAAGAAAAACATATTAGAGTCATGGATTCCCTTGAGTCACAAGGAAAAAAACAGTAAGGTAAAACAGCAAATTATTTTCTCCGGAGTGAAAATCAGAGAAGTCTTTTTAGAAGCATCACATTTATTTCATATGTTTTTAGTCTGTCTAAATGGTTTGTGCAAATTATTATCATACACATCAGAAATAATGCTCAAAAGTTGCCCTGTATTTGTTTCTGTCTAGACATAAAAGTTTATAAATTAGCAAGATAGAAATCTTTGAAATATATTTTCATGAACATCCACATACACTCACAAGTACTTGTGGAAGATTTGGCTGTTGGCCATGATTATATGGATTTGCATCATTTCTTAGTTATATAAAGACAGAGCACCAGGAAATCAAATACAAACAGAAATACTCTACCATTTCCAGTCTCCTGATACAAAATGAGTTTTGGGCTTTTTGTGGCAGTTTTTAGATTTAATTTATATGATTATGTAGATGGTCATTAGAGCTCTTCTGTTTGGTACATGTGTGTGAACTTGTCATCAAAAAGCACCTTCTGAGTAATAATTGGTAATAATAATGACACTAATATATTACTTTCTGTGCCACTATATGCATTAATCTCCCAAAACAGTAAATTTAAAATCTTTATTTGGGAAGAAGTATGTCATAACCATCCCAAAAGATATGTCACACAAGTATGACACAGAAACAAGTATGTCTTAGGAGCCACCAGTATCACACTCACTGTGTGTGGGCATTAGGATATTGAGGATATGCCACATTAAAAATGAGAAATCACATTGTCCCCTGAGGTCTGGAACATGTGAACCAATTAAAAGTTGTAAAGAGAAAAAGGAAAGGAAATTAAAAGACTGGTCGTTTCTGAGAAGCTGTCAAGCAGGTGGAGATAAGATTCCCTTTCAACATTTTCTTTTAGTAAGCAAGGAATAGGTACTTCCTGTCTTTACACTGCTACTGCTAGAATGCTTCCTTTAAAGAGGAAGAAAACAGGACAATGTGTTCTTTTAATGAATCTACTATCTGAGCCTCATCTAGGTAATAGTACTTTACTATTCTACGCCAATTGCTCAATTGTTGCTTTGACAAGGCCTGTCATACTGATTCAATATTTAAATGATTTCTTAGAAAATAAAATAAGGGTAAATGTTTTTAAAAAGGGAAATATAGTCTCTTACATGGTTGAAATGCTGTCCTAGTAATAGACTGACTCTTTCCAAATTACAGACTAATCAGTATATATGTGCTATTTGAAGCCTTAAACTGGAAGAAAGAATTTTCAGAGTGTCTCTGGCATAATAAAGCTTCATAAAGAGATCTCTCTATGATGTTATAAATTCAGATCATATTTCATAAAATTTCTAAAGCCCATCAGAAGACCTATTCACAATCAGTTACCCTTTATTAATTAAATGCTCTAAGTCTTCAATGAGTGTGGGACCCACCTACAGAAACTCTTTAATGTTCCTAAGGATCATTTAGAAACAAAGTCAAAGTAAGATTTTCCCAAAAATATCAGATCATTACCCTCTATGGTGTCTAAACACTTTGAAACAAAAATCAAAATGAATGGTTTAACATGATTTTTAAATTGAAACTTGGAACTATCTTAGAAACTTTACAGAAAGTAGTTATAGCTACACATCCTCCACCTACCGTGAATTTGCCCAGGAAGAAAATATTTTCCTTTCTCTTCTACTTTAAACTACATACATTTCTTTGATTTAAAAAAAAATTAGTAAAAGGATGGGTACCTGGTGGTTCAGTTGGTTAAACGTCTACTTCAGCTCAGGTCGTGGTCCTGGAGTCCTGGGATGGAGCCTGTATCTGGCTCCTAGCTCAATAAGGAGCCTGTTCCTCCCTCTCCTGCTCCCCATTTATGCTCTCTCTTTTGCACTCTGTCAAATAAATAAATAAAATCTTTTTAAAAGTTAGCAAAAAAGGTTTGAACAAAACTAACTTTATGCATAATTATGTTTTTGTCATTGACAAAGCATCACTTCTGAGTGAACAAATATATACATCTAAATTAAGTAATTATCTCCCATACAAAGTTTTCTTGCAACCCAAGTAAAATGTTAAAGCTATTCAGTAACAAATGGTATTTTTTGTTTGAATGTTGTCTATGATCATTAACCAACTGAAAATTTCTTAATAGCTATTTTGAAATTATTAAAATTTTTCATTAAAAATACATCCAACACCTAAGCAGGGCATAGAACTTTAAAAGAACATGCAAGTCAATAAAAGTAATGTGCAGTAGATGAAAATATTTTCTTATATTTCTAGGAATATTTTTCATAAATATTTTTTCAGGTGTTTTAATGAATAAACTGGATAATGAAATTTTCTAATTAGCATTTGGGTTATCTGAAAGATTTTAGATACGCAATAGTTGGCTCATTTTTTAAAGGTGGTAATTGAATGTATTGTTTTCAAATTACATTGAATGTAGTTTTTAGCTTTTTTTGTCTTTTTGTAGCTTAGAGGGCACACTATGGGTCATGATTGTTGTCATGAAAACAATCATCAACACAGCACTGTAGAGAAAGTATAGGAAATACAGTTCAATATTGTATGTAAGACATACCATATATGTTGCTCTTTAAAGTAAACCCTTGGCTTATTTGGTGCTGAATATTTGAATTTTAAGTTCATAGGTCTTTGAAGAACATCTGTGTCCTTTTGTCTCACAGAAGTATAGAATGAGGAGAAATCCAATTGTTTTACTTTCCTAATAGCTTGAATCCCTGATAAATTACAATTTCTTACAACTTGTAGAAACACATTTTAGATACTGTATCATTCAGTATTAACACATAATCCAAGTTGCTATTAAAGTGTTGGGACTATTTTTGTTGGGTCCTATGACACAAAATAGTGTTAACCTTTATTTAATATGTCTATTTGTACTATTTCTCAATATAGGAAACTTTCTTTATCTGGCGTCATTAGAAAAGAGGTATTCCACAGAGGAGAATTTTCCAGATTCTTGAAGCTTGTCCCTTTAAATGCACGTTTTATTTTAACCATATCTATTTTTAGGCTTTTTAAAATATGCAAGACTTTTTCCTGTTTTCTTTTTTTTTTTTTTTTCTGGCTCCAAAGAAGATCTTTTACTGAGACTTATTTAAAATACTTCAGTCCTTAATCCAAATAAACTTCAACTCAGCTGAATTGCTGATGGCTGATCTAGGCAAAGGCTTCATGGAGACAAAAAGAGGCCCCACCTACAAAGACCTTAAAATGAGTTCCTAACAAAGAGTGTGAATGTCCTCAGGGTCTCTGTCCCATCTTCTTCAGAGTTCGATTGAGCTCCTCAAATTTGTGAATCTGCCGGATGAAGAAATCCCCATAGCGCCTGGCGACCTTGGTGTCTGCAATGTGGATCATGTCCTTATCAATGTAGAAGTCAACTTCGGATGCCGACTGAAATTCACCATCAAGGGCAGAGATGCCACTGGTCCACACCAGGTTCTTCATCTTATGCTTGAAGACAAGGAGCTGGATCCTGAACTCCTGCTCTGTGAGGTCCAGGAAGCCGGCCAGCTTGGCCACAGGCATGGTAGTGTACAGCTTGAGGAAGCTACGGATGGTGGAGAGCTGGGCCTGCTGCTGCACTTCATCAGAAAACACCTTCAGCTGCTGCAGGAAGGGCTCCTTGTGGTAGTTGGGGTGCACATTATCATAGTTGGGCACCACAGGTGACAGGAATTTAGGGCACGAGTAGCTGAAAAGTTCCTCATAGACCTGTGGGTCACCCTTCTGCATGCGTAGCATCTTATCCCCATATTTCTCCCGCAGCTGCAGGTGAATGCTCTCATCGATTCGCATGGGGTACATGGTGAGGGCGATGGCCAGCAGCGCGTGCATCTGCTCATTTTGCTTGTTAATCATCTCATACTTGTATGTAGTCCTTTGAAACATGCTCTTGGTCCTTTGGATGTAGAGGAGGATATTGGCAAATACCCGGATGGCATCCTGGTAGCGACGCATCATCAAATATGCAAAACCGAGATAGTAGTATGTGGTGACCTGGCACTCAGGCACACGAGAATACATACTCTTCTTATTTAGTTCAATATTCTCCAGCACCTTGATGGCCTGGTAGTAATCCCCTAAAAGGGAGTGCAGACGCAGAAGCCCCACCAGGCTGAAATACCCAAGCATCTTGTAAAGGGAGTGCCGTCCATACTCGCCAGCCACACTCTCGGGGTCACCACCACTTGTGTACACCTCCAATTGCCGGTTAATGTTGGATTTGTCGACCAGGGAGTGGAGGACATTGAGGACACTGTGAACATTCCAGATTTTGGGATTGGAGCGAAGGAAGTCAATCTCTTCCTCTGACTTCTTGGCAGTCTTACAGCGGTACTGGCTGAATGACTGAAACTGATAGATGAACTCATCAATGATATCCCAAAGCCACTGGTTAGGTAGTTCAAGGGGAGCAGGACCATCAGCATTAAGAATGTAGTTGAAGAGATTGCAGTAGTTGTAGTAGGATTCAAACCTCTGCTCCAAGGAGGGGCCCCCACTGACTTTGGCATATATGTGCCTGTAATATAATTCTTTGTACAAAATCAGGAAGACGGCATCGTTGCCAACCTGTGGAGCTATGGCTTCAGCCTCAGGCCAAGGTGTATTCTTGAAGAACCTTTCAGTCAACTTGGTCCAGCTGTTCTCATAGATGTCCTGGATCTCATATACTTTCTGATCAATGACATCGCTGGACACACGACTAGCCTGCAGCTCATACACCTTCTGGTCAATCAAATCCGAGACGGTTTTGTGAAAATACTGGATGAAGTTTTTGATCACTTCGGGGATCACCTGATAGGTCTGCTGTTCATACTGACGTTCATAAGCCAGATCCTGCTTTGGGTCTCCTGTGTGCATATCATAGTCGCCTGGGTAAGCATAGGGATCATAAGCAGCCTCGGACTCGTAATCATCAGCGGGGTAAGACATGGCTTCTGGGCTCACGAGCACCTCCGGAGAGCTTTTTCCTGTTTTCTTAAACAGAGAGTAATCTACATAATGTCACTGGTTCTTGATTATTAGGGTCTTAATTGTACATATTTTATTGCACCATTTTCACATTGAACCACTTTATGAATTCAACAAAACTTTCACAGGCTGGTGTAGTGTGTTCAGGGCTTTTTCCTTTTATACAGAATTGCAGACAAAATACTTTTTAAGTTCCTCTGTTTCTAAGGTTTTGTTAGAGTAGTGAGGTACAGGAGAAAGAAATTAAGCCTTCATGTCAGACAGACCTGGATTCAAATCCCAGGTCCACTATTTACTAAATTATGCAATTTGGGGGGAATTTATTTAATGCTCCGCAAACTCAATTTCTTCATCTGAGAAAGGGCTGCTTCTAAGTTACAGAATGGTTGCAAAGAATGAATTAAACAATAACTGTAAAGGGTCTGGCGCTCCCAACCCTCAACACCTCTGCCTTCTTGTGCTATCAGCATCAGTTCTTGCTCCTACCAGCTCATGCCTCTTCCAGGTCCCCGGCCCTTGTAGACCTTGACAACAGGAGCCTCCTCACCTGTTCATCACTGTATTTACAGTCCCTGATGTCTGCCACTAATGCCTCAAAGTGTAGTCTCTGGTAAAATGCTTGTATTTGAATCCTGACCCTCCTGGTTTTTACTGTGTCATGTCGGGCAAATTTAACAACCTCTCTCTACCTCTGTCTCCTTGTCTGTGAAATGAGGGGAATAATAATACATACCTTATAGGATTAAATTAACTATTTATGTAACTATTCCTCACACACAGTAAACACACAATAAATGTTAGAGTCTATAATAACTGAGGGTTAAAAAAATTTATTGCTTCTAATTTTCTGTGACTAGGGGAGTGAAATATCAAGTTTATTTAGATAAATTTAATATTAGAACATTTTCTACATAAAGTTTGTGAACTGTAGTATACAGTTTTTTTTTACTTTTTTTTTTTTTTTTTTTTTTTTTTTTTTTTTAGCAGCTCAGAAGTTTTACCTTTGGGCTAATGGGTCCTATTTTGATTTCTGGAAAAATGATCCCAAGATAATTGGGATTTTTACCATATAGCTATCTTTTTTTCCTTTTTTTCTTCCTGTGTCATTTGATTCCATTTTCTCTGCTCCATTGATAAATATAGACTTGAAGTTTCTTCTAAGTTAACCAGTTTGCCTGAGTTCAGGTATAGAAATGTTTGTCTTCTATTCATGCTTGGCCAACCATATCAATAGCCTAGGTCACAACAGGCATGTCATCAGTAAAAATTCATAGCAGCTATATTTCTTAACATCTAACTTATTTCAAAATGGAATGCTTACATTATGTATTTCATTGCTTTGTGTTAAGTATCACCTGTTTGTCTTCAACTCCTCACTCAGTCTAACCTTCCAGTTGAATAATATTGGAATTTGGAATTGGAGAGTAAAAGATGAGGGTAGAGAGCTATTGTTGAGGAATGAATAGCAACAAATTGCTTTGGATAGCAAAATAATCTCATGTTATTGTATGATTCTAATTGAACAATGAAATTCAGAAATTAAGTAAACAAAAGTTCAAACTGAACCTGAAATTATGAAAATATTTTTATTTCATATCAATCCTACTACTTTATATATATATGAATGTCACATATATATGTGTCACATATATATGTCATATATATATATATATATATATATATATATATATATATATATAACAAAAGTTTCTACCAAATTCCTTTTTATTTTTCTCAGTCAGCAAAATGACTCTGACTCTGACTCTGCAAAAGCAGAGCTTTCCTGAATTCTAGGCTTCTGGGAGTAAGAATTGCTTCTCATGATTTCCCTAAATATTGTTAAGTCTGGTCAGTAAGAAACTAAAATGTAGGTGTTTGTTACTGTGTT